CAGTGTGGCCACAGTGCCCCGACAGCACATACTAAAAATAACATGAGTGCAGCGCCACCGCTCCGCGCCCTCCCCGTACCAGGCTGTCCAGGTCACTGGCTCTGAGCCGGATCGTTATGAACGGTGCATGGCTCTGTGCGCACAGCTCAGCCCCGGAGCTCGGAGGCGGGATGGCTCCCCAAGAAGGCAGCAGCAGCTCTCCTGCAGACACTGGAGCGCAGCCGGGTGCTGTAATGCCCCAGCCCAGCTCAGCAACGCACCACGGTCAAGGGCAGGCCAAGGACAGGCTGTTGAATCCCCAGGGCAAGGGGCAGGGATCGGAAGAGGCCAAGCAGCCCCTGAAAACTGGTCATGAGTGCTCAGCCATGCCCTGTCCCACTCTGCACCAGGTGCCCCCCAAATTGGGCGGCTCCCCACCTGGGGTCTGGCACTTACATCCAGAGTCTGAGGCTGACTGTGGCCTCTGGCTGGGGGCAGTGGCTCGGGCCCTGCCTGTCTTCAGAGACAAATGTGTCCAGGGCCAGCCAAGCTTAAGCAGCAAGCTCAGGCTCAGCCCTCCTATAGTTATGGCCCACATTTAAACAACTGAATTCTAGCACAAGGGGCTTTCAACCCTAACGTGTGGCACAATAGCACCGAAAGCTCCCAGCTGCTGCAGCTACTTGGTACCCTCCGTAAGCACCTGGAGTTACGTGATTTCTGTGTGGACTCTGGGTGCGGCTCAGCACGGCACCACTCGCCTCGCACCTGCGAGGGCACCACGGAAGCAGAAGCAAGGGCAGAAAATGTACACACCCACAAGCCTGCACCGAGACCAGCCGCGAGGCACAGGACGCAGCAGCCCTCCGGACCCCACGAGCCTGCACTGGCCGAGGAAGCTGTGCCTGCCTCACCTGCAGCCATCCATTCCAGCACTGCAGACACTGGCTGCCCCCAGCCCAGGCAGATACTCTTGGAGAGGATGGCCCCCAGGCGCCCGGGACCGTGTTGAGGACACTCCACAGCAAGACAGGCCTGGGCTCCTGGAGCCTTGGCTGCAGAGGCCGTGCTCCCCAACGGGGCACACACCGGTCTGGCTACAGCCTCTTCAGGTGCCAGCTCCTGCGCCAAGACCGTGACAAACCTGCCAAGGGATTCACTTTCAACCCAGCAGCAGCTCGCTGGCACCAGAGCTTCTACCGCTCACAAGTCCATCAGCAACTACAGCTACTGTCGGCTGCCGTGAACCTGGGCCTGTTGGGAGGGACACCCCATGGCCCTGGCGCCCTCCCTAGTGGGGTCATTTACAGGCTGCCCCCTAGGTCCTGGGCTTCCATTTCCGCCAGGAGCCCAGCCACACCTCCCACACCAGAAGGCCCCAGGGAGTACCCACTCAGTGCTCGGTGAGAAGGGGCCAGCACAAGCCCCAGCTGGGCTTCTTGGGCCACAACCCCTTCCCCACGGGGCTCCACTTACAGGGCACCTGGGGCCGCCGGCTCAAGTTTCCATACAGAGCTCTCGGTGCAACTGTGCATAAGCAATGGGGCGGAAGGCTCTGTGGGGTGTTTCCCAACAGCCTTGTGCTCTGTGGGTTTCAGGTTTTGAGAAAGTGCTCGTGAACCAGGAACTTTGGGATTCTTAACTGTATTCGTGTCCCACGTTCTCTGGGGTGACCCTGAGCCCAGCCGCATCCACCAAGCGACTTACGCACATTCTGGGCCCAGAGCGGGCAGCAACTGCCACCCACAGCTGAGCCCGGAGCTCCGTGCCCTCAGGTGGAAGCGGCACCATGTGCAGGACAGCGCTGCGCCCACGTAGAGGGTCGGTAGGGAGCCCGAGGCCTAGGCTTACCAGTCCCAGAAGCACTTGGACAACATCTGCCTGGATCCAAAGCCCAACCCTAAATCTCAAGATTTTACAGCGGAGTAGATCTTCCTGTACGTGAATCCGAGTTCAGAACACCATGGCTTGCTTCTTCCTCATCTTCTAAGCTTTTCTGAGACAAGGCCTCACTATGTAGCCCAGGCTGTCCTCATACTCACGGTGACCCTCCTGCCTGGGCCTCCTGAGTGCTGGGATGACAGGCATGTGCCACCGCTGCCAGCTTTGTATTTTTCCTTTAACACAGAAGTGCGTGAACCAAGCCATGCATTGATATGTCACCACCATCGTACGCAGGGACAGCAGGCATGCCCGCAAGGGCCGACCCTCCTCTCTCCCTGCCGTGTGACCAGGACCACTGAGCCCAACTTGACCCAACGATTCTGACAAGTCAGTGAGGACAAGTCAGACCGTGGAGTTGGAATTTGATTTCTGAACTACACCACACAGGTGAAGGGACCTGGTTACCTTGAGGAGGCTACATGGATAAACGAATACAGAGATCTTGCAAACTATGTGTACCAGCTGCTAGCTCTTTACTTCAGGTCAAGTTCTCACAGCCGGGAAAGACATTGATTTACATTAAAAAGGAAGTGATTGAGGTAGGCTTAGCAAAACTTTTGTCTTCTGGCAAAAGCTGGTGGGTAAGAAGTTGAGCACCATGTGGCTCTCGTGGCAGACGGCATCAGTGACACCTCAGGTGAGCAGGTAAGCTGCTGGCGCTGTGGGCACGCACTGCACGTGAAGCCGCTCCATGCTGGACCAAGGTACCAGGGCCATGATGGGGCTCTCCCCACAGCACCCCATAGCACGCTCTGACAGGAGCACGAGCCTGTCGGTGGGTGACCAGCGCGGGCACAAACGCCTGCCAATCCAGACACTTTCACAGGTTCAGTGTGGAACCACGTAATGGGTTACCTAGGCACTGACAGGCTTTGTATTTTTTATTTATGGTACTAGAGACTGATCCCAGGGAATGCTGAGCTACAACCCCACTCCTTTCTTAGTTTGAGGCAGGGTCTCACCAAGGGGTCCAGGCAGGCCTAAACTTGGAAGCCCCCTGCCTCAGCTCACTGGGTGGCCACAATCACAGCCACTGTGCCCAGGGTTGTTTTTTGTTTTTTCTTTTCAGGGTTGTTTTGTTAACACAGGTCTGGAACAGTCCTGTGGGCAGCTGGCTTTAGAAGATTCTGCTGTTCAAAGGCCAAAAGAGATGTGCTGAGAAGGCAGAGTGAGGAAGTCTTGTCAGAATTAGAACCTCCTCCAGAGAACAACAACAGAGGCCCTCCAGTGTGCGGCGAGGCGGCCGGGGCTCTCCAAGGAGCCGGGGGCACCAGGCTCAGCGCGCATGCACAGTCGAGCAGCTTCCTGCGCCACCACTGGCCCTTCCTGGCATTTCCACTCAGCTCTCCCTCTACACCACTCTGCACAACCTCCTTCAGCTCCAAGCAAGTGGCAACAGGGCAAGTACATCTGTGCGCTTCAGCCAGAGATGAGGGGCAGAAGCTCGCTGCTTCCAGGCTGGGTGCTGCCTTTCCTGGAATCATTATATTTCCTCATTAACCACCAGGCTTAGAGGGAACCGTGCATGTCTGATTTCCTAGATATATTAGACACGATCAAAATATACCCTGAATATTTAAACTCTGGGGCCAGGGAGATAGCTCAGCGGTCTAAGTGACTGGCTGGCAAGTGCAAAGACCAGATTAGATCCCTGGTCTGCATCCCATGCCGGATCCACCCCAGGCCCACTGAGCTGCCCGGAAATCAGGTGTGGTGGTGCACCTCTGTAATCCCAGCAATGGAGAGGCTGAGACAGGAGGATCACTATGAGTCTGAGTTGCATAGCAAGACCCTGTAACAAATACATAAATTTTATTTATTCTTTTTAACTTTTTTTTATGTGTGTGTGTGTGTGTGGCCAGCTCAGCCCACCAGGGGGCAGGCCTAGCTGGCACGTGGTGCTGGGGGAGTGAACCGCGGTCCCTGCGCTTTGCTTAGCTTAGCTTGTTCTAAGTAGGTTCTTTAGACCACTGAGCCATCTCACCAGCCCACCAGCCCATAAATTTTAAAAAATAAAATAATGTATTAAAGTCAAAGACACATACCCTGAACCCCTCCCCTGGGCCATGTGCATCCCAAGACTCCCAAGCACTGGCCCAGCGGTGTGTGGTTCCGCCCTGAGTGCACACCAGCACAGAGGGAGCCCTTTTGTTTTCGTTTTTGTTTTGGTGGAACCAGGGATTAAACTCAGGCCCTTGCGCTTGCCAGGGAAGCGCTTACTCTACCGAGCCATCTCCCTGGCCCCAGAGGGAGCCCTTTTGGATCAACTGAGACCAAGGACAGCCAGGACCAAGAAAGGAGGACCCTTGGGAAAGGGCCCGTCACTTCAGTGTTTGAAGCACGCAAGATTCTGTGAGAGCTGATGGCAATGTGTCCTTCACAGTGGTAAATCTAAACACAAACATTTCATCATTCACATTTCCATTTTGTTTTGTTTTGGTGGTACTGGGGATCGAGGTCAGGACCTTGAGCTTGCCAAGCGGGTGCTTATGCCACTGAGCTATCTACACAGTTCTCATTCACATTTTTGATCACACCTCGCCTATCACTGGCTTACACTGCCCCCCTAGTATCCTTGCATTCACTTTAAAAAGTATTTAGAGGCTAGTGAGACAGCTCAGCAGACTAAGCACTTGCTTAGACAAGCACAGGGCCAGGGTTCCACCCCCGGCACCACCTGCCACGCCACCCCCCACACCCCTGAGCGGAGCCAGCCACTGAGTGTGGGCGTGGTGGTGCACACCTATAATCCCAGCACTGAGGAGGCTGAGCTAGGAAGATCACTATGAGTCCCAGCTGCGTAGTGAGACCCTGTACTGCATACATTAAAAATAGAAATAAAAATAAAAATATTTAGAGATCGAGGAATGCCACGTGTGGTAGCGCACACCTGCGGCCCCAGCATTTGCAGAGGCTGAGGCAGGAAGACTCAAGTCCAAGGACCCTCAGGCAACTCAGGGATACCCTGACTTGAAATCAAACAGGGATGGACTGTCACTTGAGGCAGGAAGCATCTGGGTCCACCCCCAAACCAGCAAAATGATAAAAAATAAAGCCCCCAAGAAACTTTTCCAGGCTAAAATTTAAAAATACAAAAAGAAAGAAATCTCCAAAATATATGAATAACTAAAAGATTAAAATTTTTGGTAACAAGGAAGAAACGCCAACTGATAAGCCATGGAAAACCTCATCAAGGGTGCTACTATTCCTAGTGACAGACGGGCGCTTTACAAGGCGACAAGGGACAGTGCTTCTGGAACTGTGGGGTCCGAGTGGCCTGCAGCAACTCTCAGGCAGCCCAGGAGGTGGGAGGGGAGTGGGGCCCTTGGCGGTCACAAGGCCGGCTGGAGGACGAGGCCATGGTCTGGCTGCAGACAGCCAGCATGAGCACGCGGGAGGGACCCCAAGGCGCTCAGGCCCCTCTGCAGGGTCTGCACCACGCAGCAGATAAACCACTGCTCTGTGGCAGGTCACTGTCACCTCACACGGGCAGCTCCAAGCATCCAAAGTTTCCAGGGGAAGCTGTGTGTTTCTGATGGCGTCAAGAAGCCGGGAACAGGGCAGCTGTGTGGGACGCAAGGCCAACCTGGGGCTCTGACAGAACCTCGCAAACGCCATCAAAGCACCCAGCACAGCTCAGTACTTACAGGAATCCCTGAGGGAGCTCTTTACCTCCTCTGGAATCACGCTCTTAAGAGACAGGAAGCACTGGGACAGGAGCTCAGAGCCACGGCCTTGGGTGGGCGGAGCAGCAGTAGCTCTTCCCAGTGTACTTTCTTCCCAGCTGGATTGGTCTTCGGGCTCTTGTGATTTGAACCCTGTCCCTCGACAGGAGGCACTTGGAGGAAGTGAGCAGCTATTAAACTCTCAAGCTATCACTGAGCCTGCTGAACAAAGTAGTGACACTGGCCTAACAGGCTCTGCTTGTTAAGGGTTTCTTTTCTTTAATATAAAAAGGCATAACTATAGTAGTTCAATGTACAAATACAAAAAAGTTATGTTTTAAAAAAGTGCCATAATACTGTACATACAAAACTGCTCCAAAGAATGATTTAAATCTCTCTCCTCGGACCCGGAAGACGCCAGGTCCCCGCGGCAGTGGCCCTGCACAGCCCGGACGTGCCCCGCCCGCAGACTTGAGGCTGTGCTCTGTGCCTGCTGCTCCCAGGGCCACTGAGCTGCGCGGCAGGGAAGCCCTCACTTGGCAGCCAAGTTGCCTGGGCCAGGAGAGGCCCAGGTCAGATCCAGACAGAAGTCTTCCCGTCCCCCGATTTGCTGCTGGCACTGCTCTTGTTGGAGCTGGCCCTGGCCTTCTTTTCCCGCGGAGCCGGGGGATTGTTCTGATGGTGGAAGGCTTGGATGGCAAGGTCCAGGCGCTCCTGAGCCAGCCTGATCTCGCGCTGCAGCGACTCCAGCTCAGCTGGGAGTGGCTCCTCGCGGCTGCCATACTGCTGCTCCTGGGCCGTGTTGGCTTTGTTCTGCCGGTAGGCGATCTTTGCATTGGACAGCTCGGTGTACTGGACGTGATCTGGCTTGACAGCGATGTTGTAGCCAGGGGGAGCTGACGGCGCATTCCAAGTGAAAGGGTAACTGTAAGCACCCGGCTCTTCAAGTCCCCTCTGCTTGCTGTTCAGCGAGTCCCGGATGGTCCCAAACCCCAGGTGGAGCATCTCCCAGATGTTGAGTAGCAGACAGAGGCCTGTGACACCGTACATTATCAGAAGAAAGATGGTCTTCTCAGTGGGTCTGGAAATAAAGCAGTCAATTTTGTGGGGGCACGGCAGCCGGCTGCACACGTAGAACGGGTGCACTTGGAAGCCGTACAGGAAGTACTGCCCTATCAGGAAGCCCACCTCGAACACCGTCCTGGCCAGCAGCTGCAGCACGTAGATCTTCATGAGCCCATCTTCCCGGATCCGCCGCCGGCTGTCGTGCTTGGGCTTCAGTTGGCTCTGCTCTTTGTTCTCCTTCTCGCTTTCCAGCTCCATTTCGGGGTACATCATGGGGTCCTCTTCATGGTCCTCTTCAGTCTCTTCCAGGGCGCGGTGCTGTCTCCAGCGCATGGCATAGGGCTTGCTCCGCGCTGCCTTCTTGTCAGCCTCGCCATGCTCCATCTTGGCGATCTTGTGGATGGCGTAGCCAAGGTACATCACGGAGGGTGTGGCCACCAGGATGATCTGGAACACCCAGAAGCGCACGTGTGACAGAGGCGCGAAGGCGTCGTAGCACACGTTCTCACAGCCCGGCTGCTCCGTGTTGCACACAAACTTGCTCTGCTCGTCGTAGTAGATGGACTCCCCACCCACAGCGGTCAGGACAATGCGGAACACTATGAGCACTGTGAGCCAGATCTTCCCGACAAAGGTGGAGTGGTTATGGATCTCCTCCAGCAGGCGGGTCAGGAAGCTCCAGCTCATGGTGGCTGGACAGCTGCGCCCTGCAGAAGGTGGAAAGCAGCAAGGCAAAACTAATCAACAATGGGGCCGGGGAGATGGCTCAGTAGAATAAGCGCTTGCTTGCCAAGCGCAAGGGTCTGAGTTCAATCCCTGGTTCCGCAAAAAAAAAAAAAAAGAAGAATCCTACCGAAAAATAATGAACAGATAGTCCTGGGGATGAAGCACAGGGCCTGGAGCACAGTCAGCTTCTACGTGAGCACCGAGCAACACCCCAGCCCCACGTAGCATTCAGATCTCTCCCTACCCTTGCATCCTTGCATCCCAGGAGCCCTGTCACCCTCGCAAACACCATCCCTGCCCACCAGCACTGGCCTGGGCTCGCAGGCCCTAGGCATCAGGCTCGCTTTCACATCTTCCCTAGCTTGAGAATCAAAATCATGGCTCCTCACACCTGCGTCCTCAGCTTAGACACAGTAACTAGCTTTGATGATCACAGCATTGTTTCATGGAGACAAAGGCGGCGGCAAAGCACAGTCCTATCGGCCTGGGCCCAGCTTGAGAAACCTCCACAGGGATTGGAAAGGCAGCATCCTAGGAAGCTCACAGTGCAGCACGCTGGCACCATGTCACAGTACTAGAGATGGTGCGTTGGCAACAGCCCAGGCTTGACAGCAGAGCAGGAGCAAGGAGACCCCAAGCTGTACTGCACAGGCCGACTCGCTATTCCTAGAAGCCCACAGTGGAGACAGCTGATCTAATCAATGGCCGATCCATTTAAATGGCATTTGGTTTGTCTGCCTGCAGGCCTGGACACTGAACACAGACTTTCCCACATGCCAGGCATGCCTTGGGGCTGAGTGCCATCCCCAGGCCTGTACATTTCAAGACCCGGTTTCACTGAGTTGCCAGCTGGCCTCAAACCAGGGTCCTGCTGCCTCAGCCACCCCGGTGGCCGGGATTACAGGGCCATACAACCATACTCAGGACAATAGCCTTTTTAGGGAGTTTTATTCAAGATTCTCAGACCTATATCAAGAACCCAAGTTAGAGCTAGCTCCATAAAAGTTCTGTCTGTAATCCCAGCAATCGGGAGGCTGAGGCAGAAGGTTCCTCCTAAGTTCAAGGCCAACCTGGGCTACATAGTGAAACTCTGGCTCAAAAAACAAACAAGAGGGGCTGGGGAGATGGCTTGGTGGAATAAGGGCTTCCACAGCAAGCGCAAGGGTCTGAGTTCAATCCCTGGTTCCACCAAAAAGAAAAAAACAAGATGTGTGAGACCCCACGTGTGTGCAAGCCCTATCCTGTGGAAACTGTGGGCCATCACTGGGAGGCACTTACCTGTCACCCAGAGCGCCTGTCACCCAGAAGCGCCTCAGAGAAATGAAGCTTCCCTTGTAGCTTTCCCAAATTCCTTCTGCAAGGGAAGAGAAGAGTGGACCATAAGCCTCCTCCCACAGAAAGCAGTGAGTCACTGGGAGGAAGCCAAGTTTTCTATGGGTCGCAGGAGTCACTCGGAAGAGCCAGGACAGGCCCACTGAAGCCGCCGCCCCTCCCCCAGCAGTGTGTGCGTGGGAGAGGCGATGTGGTGTGACGTGGTGCTGGAATCACCACGTCTGTGTGGGAGTCTGTCAGGGATAAGTCACTGTGACGGGCAGAGAGGAGCACGGGCACTCCGAGTCTGAGCAGAGAGGCGCACGGGCTGCCGAGCTCGGCCCACAGCTGGCCCAGCAGACGCTGGCCACGGTGATTTACAGACCTAGTGTTGCGGCACGGCCAGAGAAGGAAAACACCTGCGTCCCTACACAATTCCAAATAAGCAGGCTCAGGCGAGGCCTCGCTCCTCATCCTCACCAACTGTTCGTTATCGTTTAGCTGAGCGAATAGGGGCAGTGGCAACAAAAGGCTGTTGTCCCAGCACCCTGGGAGGCTGAGGCAAGAGGACTACAGGTCTGAGCCCAGCCTAGGCCACTCAGTGCTTAGCGAAATCTGAGTCACGGGGCTGGGGCTCAGTGTGAAGGCCCACGTTCAACCCTCCGTGGGGGGAACAAGGTGTGGGTCGACTTAGGGTACAAGCATCCGTTTGTCATCGACTAGCCGGACCACCAGTACCCACAAGTTCTCACACTCACAGAACCAGAGGGACACAACATCCCCCACCCTAACCCCGTTTGGTGGCGCTGGCACTGAGCAGAGGCCCAGCTCTTTTACTGTGAGCCAGGGCCTCCTAAAGCACTCAACGGCCAGGCCAGGCCAGGCCAGGCCAGGCTGGAACTTCCACTTCCCCTCCCTCAGCGCGCAGGTGCTCCCCGGCTCGCCCAGCTGCAGGCTACTCTGCAACCAAGGCCTGCTCCTGGTGGCTCACACCACACCACACCACCTGCAGGCTGAGGGCCTCCCAGCCCACCCAGTCCCTAAATCCTAAGGCGAGGAGCACCCCCAAGAATGAACTCATCCATGGGGCCGGGGAGATGGCTCAGTAGGATAAGTGGCAAACGCAAGGATCTGAGTTCAATCCCCGGTTCCGCAAAAAAAAAAAAAAAAAGAATGAACTCATCCTTCCGCAGCCCGCCCCGGGACCTGGGTCTTTCCCTCCGCCCCTCTCCTTAGACAGCTAACCTGGGCCTTGGTCTCCCCTGCAGAGAGACCCTTTCCAGTAAGGACGGTCTGGGAAATAGCTATGACAGGGGCCCCTCACCGTGGCCCCACTCTGCCGTGATGGAGCAGATGCAAGGCCCTGCAGCAGGCCTTGCAGGAGGTGGCGCATGGAGCCTGGCTCCACGAACTCGGGGAGAGCCTGCACCCGGCTCCCACCCCCAGCAGTCTCTGGACTGTCCCTGGGGTTTACACTCTGGACCACAGAAGGACCCAGGGCAGGTGCTAATCTGAGTGTTTGGTCCCCTGTACATGGCAAGTACACGGAGTGCTTTCTGTGGGGAAAAAGTAAACCAGTAACATTAAAAGAAGCTGACACACAGCTGGGTATGGTGGTGCATTCCTCTGAGCTCAGGTACATGGGAGGCCAAGGCAGGAGGATCTCACAGCCCGGGAAAACCAGCAAGTCCCTATATCAAAATAAAATTTAAAATAAAGGGCTGAGGGTGCAGCTCAGTGGGAGGGTGCTTGTCATGCCTGTTCAGTGTGCTGAGATAAATCCCCACCGCTGCAAAAATAAAATGAAATAAAGTTAATTATAACTGAGATGTAGGGCTGCCAAATAGCTGAGTGGATTAAAGCACCTGCAAGCAGGTACACGGGCTGGGAGTTTGATCCCAGGATCTGCCATGCTGGGGCCCCGCTCCTGGGGCACACTGAGAGGGCAGTTGAGACTGGGTGTGGTGGCGCGTGCCTGTAATCCCAGCTCTTGGGAGGCTGTAAACAGGAGAATCACTACGAGTCCGATCTAGTAGTGAGACCCTGAACACTCTGTAGACCCTTCCCTAAAATACAGGAAAAACAAAACAAAACAAAACAAACAGCTGTAGCTCAGTGGTGGAGCACTTGCCCAGCACACACGTATGCGCAATCACAGCACCCTGACACTGCTGTGTTTCCTTAGAGGCTCTGGAGAAAAAGCAGCATTACATCTGTCTGGCATTTGCTGCAGTCACTATGGCAAGGCCCCCTTTGGCCTAGGGCACCACCCCCAAAGAGCGCTGTCCCCAACCCCACCTGTCTGGCTCTCCGCTGGGGTGTGGCCTCTGCATGGGTGGCCTCTGCATGGGTGGCCTCTGTGGACCTGGTGCTGGGCTGGGCCTGCTGCGTCCTTAAGGGAGAGAGCTGCTCTGGGCCCCACACAGCACAGGAGCCTGCTTCCTGCGCAGCCAGCTCAGGGGCCCGTGCGGCAGCCCCACAGCCAGACGTATTTACACTCGAGAGTCATATTAGCTTACGTACCAGTCCTGGAGAGAAATCCACTGTGCTATTCTTAGTGCATTTTCCAAATAAGTGAAGATGTTTGCACAAGAAAGCTTTTTTTTTTTGTACTGGGAATCAATCTCAGGACCTTGTACTTCCAGGCAGGCACTTGTGCCCCTGTGCTATATCTCTGGCCCAGAATTTTAAGTTAACTAGCATCAACATGACAAATTGTGTCATTCTTTTCCACATGCTATTTTTTGGGGGGAGGGTTGCTGCTGCGAGTTCAGCCCAGGGCTTCACGTGTGCTGAGAGCTGCTCAGTTCACTGGCCCCCAAATTCTTTCAGGAGATTTCTATCAGACAGGGCCTGGTGGCTCACACCTGTGAGTCTAGTGCTCAGGAGGCTGGGGGGGGGGGG